CCTGTTTTACAAAAGTGGACAGTTAGAAAGTGCGATTTGTGCGAATGCACGCTACCGAACAAAGTGCCGTTGAACGTGAGGCACACCAAAAGAGCGCCAGGCTCCAGCATCACCAAAAGAACAATAAACATCAACGCGCACCAAACTAACCGGTGCGATCATGCGTTTTGTGCAGTTCAGCCCATCGAACGACTGCCTATTAATGACTTTCAGGCTTTGTACTTTAGTCTATTCAAAACTAGTTAAAACACTAAAAATTCGTTAGAAATTTCACGCACCTGCGCATGAAAACTGAATTTGAATAGGCAGGGTTGAGTGTGGGCAGGGAGTAACTACTCTAAAATTTCAGCTTTCTAGACTACGTGGTTCCCGCAATAATAATTTACCCGTCAAAAATTTCCACGGGGCCGTACTTGTTACTCGTGGACAGAGGAAAGCTGAATTTAAATCTGCCGCGTTGGCGGGAAACACTATACTAAAATTTCAGCCGCCTAGCTTTTGTGGTTTCCGAGTTGAAAGTGCGGGACAAAATGTGGGACACACACACACATACACACACAGACACACACAACCCCGTGACAATATGCGTTTTGTATTTCTGCTACACAGCACAAAACGCATAAAAATCAACCTGAGGACCACCGCCATATGACACTCAGTAGCATTACGGGGTGAAGACGCTAAATTAAAGGACGCTTTAACCACGCATCCAAAGTTACTGCGAGCACTGAACATAAGCGTAGCGGGTAATAAATTAGGCGCGAGCCGTGCCGCAAAAACAGTTACCTGAGATGTATGAGATATTTGAGCCAGGAACGCTGCACCTCATCGAACGGACAACCCACTGGCATAAAAAACGTACGCTGTCTGAGAAAGGTTTGTGAAGAAGGCGGCATGTCCCTTACATCGAATTTAACGAGGAACATTCGTACCACTGTTCCCTGAGGATTAAATAACACCTGCAATTCAAAAACTTAGAGATTCATCATTTGCAAGTAGCCACCGATGAGTTCCGACTGAAATCCCATTTCTTTTGCAATGAAGTGAAAGCAGTGAGTTTATTTTTCACATCGTTTCCCCGCAAAATTTCATCGAAACAGATTGACCTTGTGGATTTTCTGCGATAAACACTACGTCACCTGCGCAAACATTTGGACTATTTCAGTGTTGTACCA